GGATTTTCACAGTCTGCAAAGGGAACACTGAAATATTTAGCAGCCTTGTGTTTTTTTCCAGCAAACAGTGAAGAACATAAGAAAATAAAAGTACCACCCAAGCTAATAAAGAAGAAACCTAAAAGGGTCTGAAAGTTTAAAAAAGGTCACTGTGGTTCAAGACAAGAAGGTGGAAGAATCCAGATCAGCTGCTGATGTGAAACTAACTCTTCAACCGTCTCTTCTTTAAGACGTCGATACAAAGAACAGCTCTTTGGAGGTTTGTCTCACGTCGAGTTCAAACGCTCCAAAATGAGAATTATTCAGTTTCTTCATCCTCATCCAGCCGCACCATGTTGTGTCCGAGGTTCAGGATGAGACACCAGAAACCTGTGAGGAACACGGGACCAGATGTCCGGTCGGTGCCGTCCTGTAAGCAGCGCTGCACGTTCCTTTAGAAGTTCTGCTGCAGGCGCTTTTTGGCCTCGATGGCGTCCAGGATGGGCTGCCGCTTGGCCTGGTACCGCTGGTGGATCTCCTCGATCTCCTGCTCCATCTGAGGGTCCAGAGAGGCCAGTCTGACCCGCAGCTCCTCCACGGACCACGTGCTCACCTACAAAGAGACAAACTCTAAAACGTTTCTGTGCTTCAGTCTGCAGGTCGGACAACATTTTACACACATAGTTGCTAAATTCTTCTTTTAACACCCAAGAATTATCTTTTAAAATTCCGAAACAGACTGAAGCAGACAAACCTACATCAAAAATTTATTTAAATTCAAAATTTTTGTTAGCATGAAGCTAAAAATCCTAACCGTCCCAACGAAGACATCTTTCCCCCTAATGTGTAAAAATCTCACAGGGACATCAGGAACCCAGATGTCTGTTTCAGAGCTTTCTAAGGCTGTGCGTATCGACACGTATCACTGTGTCGCTCTGCTGGAGGTCAGCGACCGGGACCTGCTGCTCACTTTAGCTTTTACCAGCAGCACAATCTATTTATTACCCACGATCAATACAGCTAAAATAACAGGAGGAAGGTCCTGGAACCGGATCACAGCAGGAACCGTGAATAAAATGACACCAAGTGCCAGGAATGCTAATAATTGTTACAATTTTCACATTAAATCCAACAGTGCAGACATGAATACATGCTGAGGTATCATTTTCCTGTTTATAACTTCTGGAAGTTTTTCCCCCTAAAACAATGAGTACCACTTTACAGTAAGACTCCCCTTATAGATGGCTTATAAATAGTTTATAGACAGGTTATTAGTTAATCTGTAAATAATTAATGCATAATAAACACTTAATGATTTATAAAGGAGGAGAAAGAGACAAAACTGTCTGATTTCTTGCCAAATAGTGGGATAAATCTGTTCACATTACATCTAAAGGTGCTTATTAAACATTTCAGACTAGGTTTCTATCTTGTAAGAACAATAATATATTAAAAACACATATTTTACATATAGGATACTGTATTACTAAGTTATACATATCTACAACTATCAAAGAGAGTCTTATTGTAAAGTGTAAAACAGTACACTATTTATTAATGACTAATAAACATGTATAAATGTCATAAGGGAGCCGTATAAATAGTGTACTGTTTACAGTACAAAACACTTTACAATAAAGCTCTCTTTGATAGTTGTGGATATGTATAATGCAGTTATACAGTACAATATTATATGTGTTTCCAAATCATTATTGTTCTTACAAGATAGTAACCTAGTCTGAAATGTTTAAAAAGCTCCTTTAGATGTAATCTGAACAGATTTGGCTCACTATTTGGCAAGAAACCAGACAGTTTTGTCTCTTTGTCCTTAATTAATGCACAATAAGCACTTATTAATGATTAATAAAATGTTTACAGATGATTTAATAACCCATCTATAAACTATTCAAGTCATCTAAGGTATCTAAGTCATCTTATTGTAAAGTGGTACCAAAAAATGATAACTTGTTTTTGTAACTTTCATGGTTTTTGAATTATTTAACTTTGTTTACTAAAGATTCCCTATAGAAAAACAAAATGTACTTCAGTTTACTTGCTAAATGTAGGCGTTATATTCAGGACTTACATGACTGGACAGATGTTGTGTTTTGACGTATTTTTGACACAACATGCAGCTCATGTTGAATTCATCAGCTGTTGACCAGTTTGAACTTTTGTCCTGAAATGTAACCTTCAGTTCTGGACCGTTACAGAACACTGCGGTCTCAGAGGATGGTTTGATTGTGCTACACGAGCACCAGGAAACAACGAGAACACTGACGAGCAGGATTGAAAAGGAAACAAATGCTAAGGAATAAAAATAGACATGGAGAGCATGTGGAGAAATGTAAAGGAGGATAGAATGAAGCAGGAAACCTCATAAATTATTTAGGCTCGTGCACTCAAACCACATGTTATGTGCTGCATTGTCACACCACCTGACCTGACTGAACTACAGCCAGGCGAAAACGGTGAAGAATAAAAACAAACTTAGAGCTGAATGAAAAAGATTTACAACCAATGTGAAGATGAGACAAAGTGACGGAGTCTTCAACAGCGAAGCAGACGTATCTAAAATTAAACAAGGTCAGCATAAAGCTGTCAACAAACTGCTTTAATGGATTACAGATCCTGAAAGAAATATGTTTTTATCCCTGCATTTGCAAGTCTAATGGAGCACTAAACCCGACAGTGGGACTTATGTTGTCAACTAAAGCCTGTTTGATCTCTCTATAACTGACTGATCCTGTTAACGCCGCAGTAAAAGTTCACAAGTAACGTCGGCTAATTTCATCCCCGAGTTCTGTTACAAACTAAACTTTTAATACGGTTTATTTCAGTGAAAGAGACTGGGCTGAAACCTGTCAGGAGGTGACGTGGTGAGGATGAGGATGCTGCGCGTTAAAAACACTGGAAACAAACTAAATCTGGGTCGAGCAGCAGAGATTTGTCACCGTCTGTTCGTGGAACCTCTTTAAATCCACATCAGCACAGATCTAAGCTTTAATTTGTGCATGAAACAGAGCGTTAAACAAACCATCAAGTCACAAAAACAGTACATAATGATGGTGATTTAGATACGTCATGATCTTCACTGCATAGATGTTATTGTCGTTTTACACACGAAGAAGAACATTTTTTGTTTGGAAGGCTTAATTTTTTATTTGTTTTCTTTTATTTATTCATAATAATTGTTGTTGTATGAAAAAAACATTAGCTTAGATTAATAAAATATAGCTGCAAGTATATAATAATCTGCAAGAGGAGCTTCAGAACCCTCCTGACCCACATCCCGACACGCTCACATGACTTCACTCCACATTTTGTTTCATTTAAAGATGTTTGTAATATTTCCTAACGGTTTGTTGGAGTGGAGAGGTGAAAACTGAAATCTGGTGACGCTCTAAAGGTGATGCGCTGAGAGAAGCCATCTCGTATTTAAAAAGGTCACACGTTTAATATTTAATTCRAGCAGCAGCTGTTCTTCCTGTGTAAATGTCTCGGAGCGACACAAACACCGCCTCTTCACTGCGGCCCTAAAACCCGACGATGCTCAAATATGAAACAACAAAGTCYGTTTAATTGGATTTAAGCTATTTTCTGACAGAATGTGTGATAATCTGAAGCTCTTTGAGATTACTGCCGACTAATCTAAACCAAGCTAACTGCACACATCTCTGAAGCACAGAGTGGGCCTSGGAGTTGCAATAAACAAGTTTGTTCCACAGAGACTTGAACTCACCACTTCAAGATCTCCTTCAGGAGGGAGTTTGCGGTTGTCTGCGTTGTTTTCTCCTCGGCGCCCTCCGTCGTTATGATTGTTCGCCTCCTTCTCTTTCTGCTCGAAGTACTCCAGGAAGGACGGTTTGGGGGGCTGCATGGTCTCGTCTCTCCCTGCGTGACAGCCGAACAGAGATTTACCTCACAGCTGAAGAAACGAGGCAGGGCTCTCGTTTAAATTGTTTTTATATCATATGTGCTTTTAAAAATCTGCAGTTTTAAAGGGGGGCTTTTGTAGTTTTTCAGAAAACCATCAGTGTACTAATAATAKTCATCTGAAAGGGTTAAAGCACAAAAACTATCTAATGTGAGGCCTGTTGATACAAGGCAAATATTTTGGCTTTACCAAGACTAAACTCATGGTGCGTTCAAGTAACACTGGGAAGTGGAAACTTCCTCGCTCCTGTTTGTAAATGTAAACAGGAACGGCCCCTCCACTGGTAAATCCTAGGGGGTGTAAGAAAATATCGATACACTGAAATATCGCAATATTTCATTTCCTGATACTGTATCGATATTCTAAAGCCCTGTATCGATTTTTAATTAAGGTTTAAAATGTCAACCTTCTTGCCAACCGTTCATTTTTATGTTGTAGTTCAGCCTCTGACCACTAGTTGGCAGCAGTGAGCCAGCCATTTGGCTCCTCTACCTCTAGAGCGCCAGAGAGTAAGAGAGCATTAGCATTGTAAGTAAACACTAGCTTTTCTTTTCTTTTTTTCAGTAAGAGGTTTTTATTTAATATAATTTTTGGACAAAAAAATTGCAATATATCGCAATATACTGCCTTGCTTACAGTATCGCAATATATCGGGATATATCGTATCGTGACCCTTCTGTTATGATACGTACCGTATCGCCAAATTCTTGCCAATACACAGCCCTAGTAAATCCCACTTATCGTTCTGTTTAATCACTCGCACAAGTAGTGTGTTTTCTGTGCATACTGTACGTATTAAAATCAATGTTTATTTGCATGACGTAAGTAATAGAGCTCTTTTTGTCATTGTTTATATCAGAGGTTCTCAAACTGGGGGTCCCTGGAGTCCACAAGAGGTATCTTGGGGGTCCTCAAAAGATTTCACTAAATTGTTAATTTGGTTTTTATTTTCAAAAAATGCATGAAGAACAATGAACTAATAAAACAAACATAAAAAACTTAATAAAAATATATATTCCCATGGCATTTAGGGTTTGAAATAAATTATCTTTTAAAAGAGCATGGGGTTTATGAGGGGGTCCCTTGTAAGGAGTCCCCAGACCCAAACGGTTTGAGAACACCTGGTTTATATTGTAGCAGTGTTGTAGGTTAGCAGAATTCATACAGTTTGTTTGGAAATGACGTCACCACCACTTCCCAGTTCAGGAATATGATGTAAATAAAACACAGCATCACCTGCTGTGAAACTGACAAAAGAAAGGTGTTCAAGCAAACCTTGAGTTTACATAAGTTTAATATTTCTGGTATAAAGTTCATTGTGTAGTATTCTTTCCCACATTACAAATACACTGACTGAACATTTAGTTTATATAAAAACAAAACAATCAATCGTGGTTTAATCACACCTGTGTGAAGCAGCCAGCTGTGTGTGTCAGCCTGTGTTTGTTTACATGGGAATTGCTGTCACATCTTTAGCCGCCGCCAGTGGAGCGGAAGTGTAGTTCAGGGTTGGATTCATGGCTTTAATAAGCTGAGGTGTTACTGAGGATAAACTCCCACAGCAGCAGGAAAACAAAACAACCACTCTGTGACTGCTGAGGAAACAGTCACCACTTCTGACGCTAATCACATTTTTTATTATTATTTTATTATTATTTTTCTTATGTATGTTTTTCAGCATCTCTAACTCAATACAATTTTTGTGCTGTTTCAACAGTTCATCTATCAAAATGTTCAGCTCATTTATGCCACAGATGAAATGACTTTTGGCATTTCAGGAACTTGTACTTTAGTTATTTAGCTTTTTCTGTCACTTTTTTCCTCACTGACAATGAATGAAGCCGTCTTCAACATCCTTAAAATCCTTATAAATCTTTACTGCACTTTTTACCTTTTGTTCTGGTTCTGCTTTTTCAACTTCTTGCTGCTAATTTCAGCTTAAGTTTAGCTGATTTTAGCTTTCGTCTGCTTTTTCAGATGTTCTTCTGCTGTTTTTTTGTGCTTCTTTCAGGATCTTCCAGTCAATTTAAACCTTTTTAAGCTACTTTTTGCTATTTTCAGTTAATTTTGGCTTTTCTTCAGCTAAATTAAACTTTGAGATAATTTAAAATTTTGAATCTCAGCTTTATTC